GTTGTTTCAAATCAATATATGTCTCACCTGGATGTGGTGTTGTTTCAGATCAATTTTTGTAACACCTGGAAGTGGTGTTGTTTCAGATCAATATATGTCACAGCTTGAAGTGGTGTTGTTTCAGATCATTTGATGTTTCACCTGGAAGTGGTGTTGTTTCTGATCAATATATGTTACAGCCGGATATGGTGTTGTTTCAAATCAATGTATGTCACAGCTGGAAGTGGTGTTGTTTCAAATCAATATATGTCACAGCTGAAAGTGGTGTTGTTTCAGATCAATATATGTCACAGCTGGAAGTGGTGTTGCTTCAGATCAATATATGTCACAGCTGGAAGTGGTGTTGTTTCAGATCAATTTATGTCACACCTGGAAGTGGTGTTGTTTCAAATCAATATATGTCTCACCTGGAAGTGGTGTTGTTTCAAATCAATTTATGTCTCACCTGGAAGTGATATTGTTTCAGATCAATATATGTCTCACCTGGATGTGGTGTTGTTTCAAATCAATATATGTCTCACCTGGATGTGTTGTTGTTTCAGATCAATTTATGTCTCACCTGGATGTGGTGTTGTTTCAGATCAATATATGTCTCACCTGGATGTGGTGTTGTTTGAAATCAATATATGTCTCACCTGGATGTGGTGTTGTTTCAGATCAATTTATGTCTCACCTGGATGTGGTGTTGTTTTGAAATCAATATATGTCTCACCTGGATGTGGTGTTGTTTCAAATCAATGTATGTCTCACCTGAATGTGGTGTTGTTTCAAATCAATATATGTCTCACCTTGATGTGTTGTTGTTTCAGATCAATTTATGTCTCACCTGGATGTGGTGTTGTTTCAAATCAATATATGTCTCACCTGGAGGTGGTATTGTTTCAGATCAATGTATGTCACACCTGGATGTGGTGTTGTTTTAGATTAATTATGTCTCACCTGGATGTGGTGCTGTTTTCAGATTAATGCCCAGAATAACCATGGCCAGACAGCACTGTTCCACTTCTTTGCCAACGGTGATATGACAGGTAGTCTGTCATTGCTGTCTAAGGGAGCTGACCCATCAATACGAGGGCACTGTGTGGGAAGCACATCGAAAGAAGAGGTAGGTCTGACACTACATATATTTCAATGAAGCCAGAACATAAAATATAATTAGTATTTATATGGTGTATCAGAATGAAACAAAAGATATTCATAATATTCTTATATTATTTGCAGACTGGTTTCACCTCTGTTCACCAGTTTCTTTTGTGGTCGGGCATAACTGGTGCTGTACCTCGGAGGTGGCCCACGTAGTGAACAAAGGTCAGTCAGGTGCTTTGTAAGTAACCTCACCACGGTTGCTAGCATTCTTCATTATGATAAAGAAGGCTATGTTATCTGTGTTTGATTAAGATCAAATGGACATGTTGACATCTTGGCTGTATTGACTACTTTTAATGGTAGTGTTCCATTTGAGATATGCCCTAGATTCAAGAGACAAAAAAGGATGGGATGTAGGGGAGGTATAACTATAGTCCAAACAGGCCTATTTATTAAAATAATAGTCAATGATAAGAAAACTTGGATCAACTAGTGCCTCCATGATCATAACACTGATTTTTAATGAACACAATATTAACGTTTTCTTTTAACCCTCCAGTGAATAGCTTTACTGACCTTTCTGTCTCCTAAAATGCTTGATTTGACTGAAATTGCGTAAAGAGATATCATCAGCTGATCCATGGTGGATGTATTCCCCAAACACTGCATTTGTCTCAAAAATTGTAAATTGTCATTTCTTGTGATGCTTTGCTGCAAGTTTCCTATGTTCATTTGCAAAATTTGTTTGTTCAATTTATAGCATGATATAGTTTTAACAGGACCGGTGCATGAAATAGAACTTATGCTTTGCACAAGACCAGCAATATTGTGAGGGATGACAGCATGATCAGACATTTCACCTATCCCATCACTGATGTGGTCTTTTTTTACTCTTTGGTAAATGTTTTCTGTTTCTAAAATTGCACTGTTGCTGGTTGAAGTAAAAGTATTTTCAAAGCAAAGGTCAAGAGAGTGAAACTGAGGTGAAGGCAATTTTAAGATAGCGTGTTACTTAGAGTTGCTTCCCCTTCTTTTTATCTCAATATCAGTAAACTACTGAACATTTCTCTCTCTGAAATTTGTTGTTATTTTGTGGAAGAAAAGCAGATTTATTCCACTTCTGTGAACTTGTAAACTAAGTAGCTCAAGAAAACCACCTAAGGTCAGGATTACTCAACATAATGTGAATGTGGATGTCTGTGTATTTGCCAGGTTACTTCTCCAGGCCTGAGATGGCAAGTGAACTGCAGGGAATACCTAGAGGAAGACTTTCCCCAGTTCAGCCACCTGTACCCCTCACTGGCCACCATCCCACTGATGTTTGGTGGTGTGACATCTACCCTGTCCCAGGCTGCATGCACGGTCATCTTCCAGCAGTGTCTGCTGGCTAACACACGATGTAATACAACTAATCACTGCCTGTAGCAGCCATCCAGAACAGCTTCGATTCTGAGGGAGTTGCAGAACTTGGACTTGTATGGTGACTATGTGACTATGGTCCTCAACAGGACAGTTGTGCCGTGCCAGCTTGGTACAGCTGTTGGGACTTCCAGCAAACTCTTTGCTGAACTTTGAGGTGGAGCTCCTTCTGCATCAGATGGCTGTCTACTTTGCCAGGTTCAAGCTGCGCCGAACCCAATCTAGCCCTATCTGATGAAGATTACACGGACAGTGATGACTCCATTGATACAGAGGAAGGAGACTCTGATCTGGAGTACTGGTAGAGTAACCTTATGTCCTTTAGTACAGCAGAGGCGATGGGAGTAGCCTAGTGGTTAAAGTGTTTGCTTGTCATGCCAAAGACCCAGGTTCGATTCCATACATGGGTACAATGTGGAAGGCCCATTTCACAGTGTCCCTCTCATGATATTGCAGGGAATGTTGCTGAGAGAGTGGCTTAATACTAAAAAAAGAATGACCTTGTGTTGGAGCTGCTAGAATTACCTTGTGTTCTTAAATACAGCAAGTCTGGAGTACTGCTAGAATTAGCTTGTGTTCTTTAGTACAGCATGTCTGGAGTACTGCTAGAATTACCTTGTGTTCTTCAATATGGTAGATCCTGAGTACCAGTAGATAAAATGCCCAGTCACATGTCAATGTAATCACACATATTTCTGGGATTGAAATTGATATGCATGTTTCAATGCTTTGTATCTATGTAACAAGCATTTCATCATTAGAGTTGTCATGCTAATGGATTGCCATCCAAGTACTAGGTCATGATGATAATTTTGCTAGAACCTCTAACTCAGTCTGGGTGTTTATCCTATGGAAGGTTTTCATGGTGATATCCTGCTGTTCTGTCTACAATCTGTTACTGGGTCATGATGGTCATCTTGTAGAAGGCTGTCGTGGTGATGTCATGCCCTTCAGCCTCCCTCTCTATATCTGGGCCAGAATCTGGTGATCTTTTGGAAAACTGATTGTTGATATAATATGTTATATTAGTGTGTTTTTATATTATCTGTTTGTGTTACTTGTGGCTGTGTTCCAAATGTTGGTGATTCTGTGGCATCTGATATTTCCTTGTTTTTCCATGTGAGCACATCAGTGTAGTGAATGCCTTCATGTTCTGGGCATGTCAGACCCAGATGGTCTTGTATAGTTTGCTGGGTTTTCTGTGTGGACCATACTGTTACAGTTCCAGACTTACATCAATGTTGTTTCCTTGGATTTGTTGACTGCCAGTATGTTGTGAAGGGATGAACTTCAACAGTGTCCTGATACCATGTGTCACCATTCATCACCATACTCCCTTTGCTGGAGTCCATCCTATCATTCTCAGACTACTCCCCACACACTGGACTTGAAGCTTTCACACAAATTCATCCCTGTGTCATTGTACCAAGCATTCATGCTATCCACCCCAGTCATTGATACACCTGGTACTTGAGGCAAGTTTATAATTCCTCCTGGTATCGATACACCCTGTACATGGGGCCATCTTATGATTCATCACAGTATTGATACACCTTTTACATTAACCCATTTAGTCTTTACTTGATATGTCAAAAGAACGTGAGATTTGTGGCATTTTGTTCATTCTGTCCGATGAAACATGCATTTGAACTGCTACACAAATACACAACAACATTACTTCAGGGTATCAGTAAGTTTGACTTGGATCTTCCTGTATCAGTATGAAAAGTTTGAACAAAAGTATCAGTATTCCTAGAATTGCCCGAGATAGGGAATGTGATGGGTGTCTGATATTTAAAATCTGTGGACTGTTAACAGTGTTCCAATGTGGAGGCATGTGTTGTGAAACTATATGTTGTGATATGTATGATATGGATATACCCCTAATTTTGATACCCCTCACAGTAATATCATGTACTGTCCCACAGTGTTTCAGTATTGTAACATTTAAGATTATATTGTTGGTAGGCTATTTGTTTGAAGAGGACAGCAAGGTATACTGTAAACATATTACTATATACATGAAGGTGTAATAACACAGAGAGGTTGTTGGCCTGGTGGGTTGCCATTGTTAGTACAGTGTGCACCTGTATCTTACATATCAGTCTCAGCATAACTGTACTTTGTAGTGTAGACAATCACATAGCTTCTGCCTTTATGGGGAAACACAAGAAATATAAAATTGCATCCATAAATGTACGTGTAATGTGTGATAAGTTTGTCATCCAAAGTTGGTAAGATGTAAACAGAATTCAAGATATATTGAACATAACGTGTACATTTATGTCATATATTCCAGATTAGTAACACTGTCCCACTTACAGGCTGAAGTTAGTTAGATTTGTTGGTTTTGTACCCTTGTAAGCACTGGTCATTGCACTATATTTGTCATAGTTAAAACAATGGTACACTCTACACAACACTACATGTCACCACAATATACAGATGACACAACACTACATGTCACCACAATATACAGATGACACAACACTACATGTTACCACAATATGCAGATGACACAACACTACATGTCACCCACAATATACAGATGACTAACAACACTACATGTCACCACAATATACAGATGACACAACACTAATGTCACCCACAATATACAGATGACCGCAGCACTACATGTCACCACAATATACAGATGACACAACTGACAACATGTCACTCACAATATACGGATGACACAACACAACATGTCACCACAATATACAGATGACACAACTTGCTACATGTCACCACAATATACAGATGACACAACACTACATGTCACCACAATATACAGGATGACACAACACTACATGTCACCAATAATATACAGATGACACAACACCCAATGTCACCACAATACATACAGATGACAAACACCTACGCCATGTCACCACAATATGCAGATGACACAACACAACATGTCACCACAATATACAGATGACCACAACATGTCACACAATATACAGATGACACAGCACTACATGTCACAATATGCAGATGACACAAGCACTAATGCCACCACAACATACAGATGACACAACACTACATGTCACCCACAATGTACAGATGACACAACACTACATGTCACCACAATATACAGACTGACACAACACAAACATGTCACACAACCATACAGATGTTTGGCTTACTACGTATCACCACAATATGCAGATGACACAACTTACTAAATGCTCACACCCACAATATACAGATGACTACAACACTACATGTCACCACAATATGCAGATTGACACAACACTAATGTCACCACAATATACAGATGACAAAACACTACATGTCACCACAATATACAGATGACACAGCCTGACATGTCACCTACAATATACAGATGACACAACATGTCACCACAATATACAGATGACACAACATACATACATGCCACGGAATGACACAACACTAATGCCTACAACATACAGATGACACAACACTACATGTCACCACAGTATACAGATGACACAACACTACATGTCACACATGCATACAGGTGGCACAGCACACAACATGTCACCACAATATACCAGATGACACAACACAACATGTCACCACAATGCCACCAGATGACCTGGCCTGCATGTCACTGTGCTGGATGACACAACACTACATGTCACCATAATACAGATGACCTTTGTGCAGTCACCATAATATACAATTGACACAACACTACATGGCTGTAGAGTAAATGTCATCTCAATAGAATCTTATTGTCATGGCATCACAAAGGAACCTGTACAGGGTTGATCTTATTTTCTGCAAAATCAGATAAAAGGGTTTTCTAAATGTGGTTGTGGTGTGAGTGAAACTTCAAGTTATGTTTACAGTGATCTAAGGCTTTTGCTTATGCTACATTCCCTTGTAGTCATCTTTCTGCATGCACTTGGTGTGGATTATTTAATGATGATGAATAGTTTCCTTCAATCTGAGTCAACATGTTGTGTATATATAATTAGTCTTGCTGGAATGATTACATTGCATAATTGTCAATGATTGTTAATATAAGTTATTTGATTATTTATTCTTTTTGTATGTATATGGCATTATGCAGGCTATTTACACTCTACAACTAGATAAAACAACTGTTTCTTTGATCATCGTTAAATCATTGTCAAGGTGCCACATAAACCAGGGTTGCAGAGATTCCCCACCATAGTCCCACCTGGCACGAAGAGACTTTGAACATGCATCCTTCTTGGACTGGAGTTGCATTTTAATTGTTATCTCTCGAACTTTCAGTTGAAGTTCTAGGTGCTTGGCACGGTTGTTTCTCATTGTTTGTCTGTCTTAAAGTTTACATTCCCAACATGAGCCAGCAAATTTTGTGAAGTAGATACTTTGCATGATATAATATTTGCAAGATATCCGGGAACTTCATAATATTGAATTGGATAACATTCCCCAACCTGGCCCAACTCGCGCCATTTAATAATAGCAAGTTTTATTGCACAAGACACAGTTATATATATAATCATCAGATACTTGCCAATGAACCACACAACTGCATGGATTCATAAGTCGTGTTTATTGCAATGAAGGGAAATGCTCTCTAAGTGTAACTGATATATAAAACTCATCACTATAAACAATGATCATGTAGAAGTGTGTGGAAAACTTGTAATGTAAACTTCAAAGTCTGAGAGTATAGAATTGATTGTCGGTTGTGTTTGCACTGAAAATGAAACGATGTCAAAGCGTTGTTCAAGCTCTCGTGTAAACAAGCACTTTGACATGGTTCAGCTCCAGTGTCTACAAGCTTGTTTATTCAATAACAAATGAAATGAACAATAGGCAGGACTGAAGCTGAAAACTATTGCTAGGCGTTATGTTTAATCTAAAGGAGATATCCATAATGATGGCAGTGGAGGCTTCAAACAGATGCAAGCTTTATTAATGAAGGAAGCTCTGGGAAGACTACTGACAGGATGGATCAGATCGTGGAA